TCGTTTAACGAGATGATAATATTGCCAAATGCGACTCGTAAACTGGATATGATTAAAGATGCCAAAGATCGATTGAAGGAATGGTCTGTCAACAAGTTGCTGGGGGCACTTAATGAACGCGGTATTGTGCTTCATCTCGGCATTGAGAAAGACGAGTTAATTGACATCGTCATACGTAAATGTAGAGACATTGTCTACTGGGTATGATGCTGCCTAATAAAAATTCCTATGTTTACGAGTTATCGTGTAGCAATTGTCTCCATTCTATTTCTAGTGATCACATTTACGTACTGTAATTGCGTGTATAGAACAAACCAATACTGTATATAGAATAAGATTCACAACAGATTATTCTTAGTGATTTTTTTTCTTAAACCATTTCACACAGGTATCTTTTTTAAACTACAGGGGTGAAATTTTCGCGTCACGAAAAAAAATACGTGCCGTGTTAACACGTAATCATAAAAAAATCTTAATATGTTATTGGATTATATAATCGTAATTATGAAATTTCATATAGTTTTAAAACCTTTTATCTATAATAACAAATTTTTTAAATAATATCTTTTAAAATATATACTTGTATATACAGTATTATAAATTTTTTCTAAACTAATTCAAATTTATAATAAATACTTGTATACAGTATATTATAAAGATTTTTCTAAATTAATTCTAATTTATTTAATAATACAAAATTTATGAGTTTAATTAATCAATATTATAAAATTTTTATATTTTAAAAAAAATAAAAATAGTTATATCTTAATAAGTTTTATGTCAATTTCAATAATCTTACTTATTATTAAAATTTATAAATATTGCTTTACAACTTTATTCAAAAGTATAAAATTAGTTTACTTAATAAAATTTTTCTTGATTTAATATTTATCATTAGTTTTTATAATATTTTAAATTTAATATATTTTAAATAAGAGGATTTTAAAAATTAAATATTTAAATATTATAAACTTTTAATTACTATATACAATATATTATTTATTATAAACAAAATAAATAAATTATTATTTTTAAAAAATTTGAATTAATTAATATATAGCAACATTAAAATTTTTTTGAAATTTTTTTCAATATATTTAATATAATAACACTTATTTAAATTAAATCTAAATATAAATATAAATACTTGAATACTATAAAATTATTTTTATTTATAATTAATTTCTAAATTATATTATTATTATTTTTTAATAATTATTATTAAATAAAAGTTTTATATTATATATTAATTTTATAACTTTATTTATATAAAAATTAATTTTTTTTAATATGTTTCATATATATATATATTGTAATAAATAAAATTATAATAATATAATAATAAACTCTTTTTCAAAAATTATAAAACTTCTAAAAAATATCCAAAAAAAATATTTTATTAAAAAAATATATATTATTCTTTTTTAAAAACATAGAGGAACAATATAATCAAATATATATTAAATTTAAAAAATAATTTTTTTTTTATTTAAATAAATAAATAAATACTTGTAATTTCTTATTTAAAAAAAATTAAATTAAAAAAACCAATTCATAAAAAAATTAAAAAAACCAATTTATAATAAAATTAAAAGAAAAAATCAATATTATATTTCATAAACTACTAATTAATTATATATCAAATTGAATATCTCTTTAGATATTAATAAAGTCTTATATTAATCAAATTACAGTCAACTCTCTCTAAGTGCAAACTCTCTAAGTGCAAAAACCCTCTAAGTACAAAAAATTTCATTCCCCAATGT